GTTCCCCGACGTTACTTGTACTTCCCTTTTTGTTTATGGCCCTTGGTCCCTTTGTGGTCGCGTCCCGTTTCGGGACACGAGACTGCGATAGCAGCGCGTGGGGGTGTGTTGTATTTGCGGGGTTGCCTGAGGTGCAATTAYRAACTGTTTTCGTGGCTAMGCCGGAGCCGCGCCCGACACCRTTTTGTYAGGGACGCGGTGYCGTGGGTGTGGCAGGCACCCAAGAGCCTAGCTCAGTGGATACAACCTCGAACTGTTGAAATACARACCTRTGTTTGACCCCAGCGGAAGGATCTCAATGGGTGAGACCAAATATCTTGAATTGCCYGGGCCCGCTCGGGCTTTGYGGTGCCGCGSGGCATGGCCCAGGCTAGGTCCTCCGRSATATCCGTTAAAATTGGGACGATACRGAGAAGATTAGCAYGKSCCTTRCGCTAGGATRGGACGTATAAGTWRGGAGTAGTGTTTTTCGTTTACTCGCTTTTYTTTCGGGTTYGTCKGGCCGGCCGTCGCGCTGTCTGAGTCTCGGGGAGKTASTCGGCACGAAGACAGGCGAAGTGTACGRTCGGGAGAGAGGAGAACGGGCRCTGGCCAGGCGGAGCGCTGGGCTGCRTTAGCAGAAGGTGGGGCGCAGAGAGAGGGGATGCACCAGGACGGGGGTGGGGGCCGGGTACATTCRGARATGAGGTGGCGGAGGAGACGAGGGAATGAGCCAGAGGTGACGGGCRGGAGTGCTGAGYGAAGGGCAGGTGCYAGGGCGGAGTGACGGGCGGACGGATTGGGAAGCGACTGGCTRATARCGGAAGGGTGAACCGGGACGKTTGTAGGCGCCAGGTACAGTCGCAAATGGAGATGGCGGAGCGGGGAGTCGGGCGCAGTCACAAATAGGTGGTTCGCTCCACCCTCCACGAAATCGGACGAATGAAAGCTGGTTATGGGKKTTTTYTGGGCTAGCSAATCCAAATCYGTGGTTAGATTTAGCGATGGATTAGCGGGATTAGAGGTTAGTAAGAAAGAAGGTGTGCCAGGGTATGGCGGATAGGGAAGTGGTGGAGARARAAGACTYGGGATTTCGCTCGATTCGTGATAGAATCGAGTGAGAGAAGGTGRTAAGTTGGGGTTTTTGCCCCTCRCGAATTCGAATCTGAYGTCCGTTTCAGTAGAAAGTTAGTAAGGGGAGAGGWAGAAGGGAAATRRGCTGCGCGGAGGTGTCGGGGGTGGATATGGGGAAAGTGGGAACTGAGCTCMCGTTTGCTTCTTAGTGAAAACGAGCGGAGGAGAGAGATGGGCAGGGGTTTTTGGTTAAGGCGAGTCCGATGGCGGTATTAGTTTGGCGATAGGATTAGWAAAWAAGGGKTTAGCGAGAGKTGGAGCTGMGTGCCGGGGT